TGGATGAGGGGTTTGGGGTGTGGGAGGGACTTAGGGCTGGGACAGAGGCTTGGGGGAGTGGGGTTGTGGGGACTCTTGGGTGTGGATGAGGGGTTTGGGGTGTTGGAGGGATTAGGGTGGGGCAGAGGGCTGGGTTGTGGAGGTGAGGGCTCTTGCTGTGGGTGTAGGGTCTGGGGTGGGGTAGGGCTGGGGAAGAGGAGCTCAAACTTTGGGCTGCAGCAGGCAAGCTGACCTGGGTTTGGGGCCATAGAGGGGAAATCCCCCTCCCCCTGCCCCTCCTGTCTCTTCTCCTCTCCACTAACCGAAGTCCCAGGAGGAGCCCACCCAGAGTTACCTGCTGGGAGGGGGCTGCCATGTGCTGCCTCCCCTCCTCTCTGCACAGTCAGCCTCTCGCTGGTCCTGTTCCCTTATAGCCAGACTGAAGCGGCAGCTCAGAGTACCCAGGGCTGCTACCCACTGCCCAGGGCACAGGTAGGTAAGGTCAGGTGAGGCAGCCAGAGGGACAGGGGGGCCAGGTGGCATGGTCCGGGGACACTCTGCAGGAGAGGCAGGGTCTGGCATGTGGGGCTGGGGGAGATACCCGGGTGATGTAGGTTTAGTTTGTCCTGCCTTAGTGGGGGCAGGGCGAGCGGTTCCCAGCCTTTCCAGACTGTACCCCCTTCTGGAGGCTGATTTGACTTGCCTCTGACAAGTTTTCCCTTCTTTAAAAACTGGCCAACTAGCCCGTCATAAGACGGGATTTTCAGGTCGCTCCTCCACATCGGTTTTCTCTTCTGAGCCTCCGGTCTCTCGCTCCGTCTCTCTCTCTCCTCCTCCTCCTACTGCCTCCCCCCCTCTCTCAGCTCTCCTCCGCGTCCTGCCTCTCAGCTCTCCTCCGCGTCCTGCCTCTCTCTTTCTCTTCTCCTCCCCCTCCTGCCTCTCACTCGGGGGACCACAGAGCCCAAACGGTCACTTGTGCCACTTGCTCCCACACGGCGGCCTAGCTGAGCGGCGCAGAAGTCAGCCAAGAGCCATGGCGGGAGGTGAAGGGGGTCAGGGCGGTGACGTACATGCCCAGAGGGCAAGGCCTGGACGAGCGTGCACCCCTGACGGAGACAGAGGAGAGCGGAGAGAGAGTGAGAGGCAGGAGG